ACACAGCCGTGAGCCCAGGGAAGGATGAGTAGGAGACTCTTGTCCCCAGGGCTCGGGCTCTCAGGGTGCCAAACTTCCTCATCCGGGTCGGGGGAGGGGCAGCCAGCAGGGTCTTCTCTTTCCCCACCCCCACAGGCCACGTCCAGCAGGACACTCTGCCACGGTGGCCAGGGAAGGCCTGTGCTGGTGGGCTTAGCCCTGAAGCAGTGGCTGTGGCAGGGGCTATTTATGCCCATGGTCCCCTGCAATCAGATCACCCCACTAGAGGGGCTGTAGGCCAACCACCCCAACTGTCTCGGCTGATGTGTGCTGGCTACCAGGGACCAGGAGATCCTGGAGCTGCCCACAGCCATGGGGGACAGCGGGGGACTGTGGAGCTGCCCCAGCAGCGTGAGGGATGGGGAGGATCCTCAGGAAGGGCCCCTGGCTGCTGTGCTGAAGCAGACGCTGGGAGGGGCCTGGCCGGGGGCTGGGTGAGGGGCGTGGTGGCACCTGAGGCCTTTGGAAGGAGGAGCCACCAGGGCTTCACCCTGGCCCACAGGTGGGTGCCAAGGGTTTGGAGGGGCCCATGGAAGAAGGAGATGGGAAGGCAGGAGAGGGACCCTGGGGACCCTGGAGCCCCTGAGCTGCTGGCCCAGACCTCCAGGCCCAGGTGTCCTGCAGGCTGGTAGAAGCAGGAGCCTGGGGAGGGGGAGGGGCCAGTAAGGGGTCATCAGGGTGCAGGCAGCAGCGGCTGGGTGAGATCTGCGCCCCTGGTGGACAAATGTGGGTGGAAGGAGGCAGGACCCTGGATGGATGTGGATCTTCAGAGGCCAGGGAGACCAGGATCAGGCCACTAGGAGGCACAGACAGTGCAGCTAGAGAGGTGGGCAGCGGACAGGGCCCTGGCACACCCACCCTCCGAGCCCCACCTTGTGGAGCTGCACGGGAAATATCACAGCACATCGGGAGAGTCCTCTGCTGAGCCCCGGAGGGACAAGGCACCTCCGAGTGTTCTGAGTCCGCGGCTGGGGTCTCGGGATTAAGTCTCCCCAGTCAAGATCAAGTCCCCAGCATGCGACTCTCAGGATGGGGGCAGTGACGTGCCCATGGGCAGGAGGCGAACCTCCCTGCCCCTCAGTCTGGTTTAGGGCTGCCTCTGGGACCACCCAGCCCCTGTCGCCACAAGGACCTCTCAGCACCCGGGGTAGTGCGCTGGGCGCCAGGCCCAGAAGGCGCTTCGGGGGCTCCTGGGTGGTTTCCCCTCGAGTGCGCGCAGATCGCACCCTGGGCTCTTCGGATGGCGCATCCTTGACCTGGGCGGCGAGGAAGGCGCGCGGGTGCGATGCGGGAGGGACGCGCGAGGCGGAGGTCGGGTGCCAGCTGCAGGTCGGAGCTGGCCGGGAGGAGCCACCGGCGGCGGCGCAAGGCGGGTGCCAGGCCC